CGTGATTTCCTTCTCTGCCCCCACCCGGGCACGGATTTACCCCCAAACCTGACATTCACCCCAAGCGTTGATTTTTTTTTTCCCCCCTCCCCAATAATTTCTCCCTGTCTATTGATGCTCCCTTTCCATAATTTCCTCCCGGGAATAATTTCCCTCCCCCCCTGATTATCCTGGACCCCCCCCTCCTTTTCCCAGCCATTATTTTCCTGATTTCCCCCCTTACAGAATTGCCCCCCCCCCAGGATCTGACCCCTTGCACTCCCCCCGCCCCCAAATTATTTCCCCCCTGCCTTAATCCTAAGAATCCTCCCCTAATTACCGGCGCTAATTAACCTCGCAATGATTTCCTCAGCGCCCCCACCACATTTTGAAGGTTTTTATTTTATTTTATTTGGGTGGGGGGGATTTTCCTGCTCCCCCTCCCCGCTGCTTCCCAGGCCAGCCTGGGCCACGCCGCTTTTTCCAGGGGTGTTCTCATTGTCCAGGAGGCTCCAACCCCCCCAAAATTCCCTTTTTTTCGCCCCCCACCCGGGATGGCAGCAGGTACCGGGGCCGCTCGCTCGCAGCCACTTTGGCCAAGCATTTGCTTCAGATTACAGGAAAAACAAAAGTTCTTTGAGTTCGCCCCTTCTCCTTCGCCCCCTCCTCGCCCCTCCCCGGCTGGGTCCGGGCTGCTCCCGGTGGGAGCGCAGGGAAGAGGGGGCGGGGGGGGGTCCCCTCACCCCTTTTTTTTTGGGATAACCCCGGGGAGAGCCAGGCTGGAGCTCCTTCCCCACATCCCCCCGGGGCCGGGATCCCCCCGGGAGCATCCCGGTGCGGCAGCGGCCATCCCAATTCCCGCATCCTGGGACAGCCAGCCCCGCCACCTCGCTCCCCATTCCCGGTGTATCCCGGTCCGGAGACCCCCTCTAATCACATCCCATGGGAATTCCCGTCACCACCACGGCGCATCCCGGAGCGGGGACTCCTGCTCGGGGCTCTCCCCTGGGGTGGGATCCCCCTCCGGAGCCAGGATCCCTTCCCGGGCCGGCGCATCCCGGGCCGGAGCCCCCCGAGCCCGGGCGGGCCCCGCGCTCACTCCCGGCCCGACCGCCCCACCTGGTGGCGGCCGCGGGAACTGCAGGAGGCGGCAGGTGGAGGTGGCCCTGTCCCCTCCCTGTCCCCTCCCCGGCCCTTCCTGTTCCTTTTCTGTCTCTTCCTTGTCCCGTCCCTGTCCCCTCCCCGTCCCTTCCCTGTCCCTTCCTGTCCCCTCCCTGTCCCTTTCCCTGTCCCTCCCTGTCCCTTCCCTGTCCCCATCCCCTCTCTGTCCCCTCCCTGTCCTTCCCTGTCCCTTACTCCCCCTGTCCCTCTCCCTGTCCCTTTCCCCATCCCCCCCCGTCCCCTCCCTGTTCCCTCCTTGTTCTTCCCTGTCCCTTCCTGTCCCTGTCCCTTTCCCTGTCCCTTTCCCCATCCCCTCCCCGTCCCTTCTCTGTCCCTTCTCTGTCCCCTCCGTCCTTCCCTCTCCCTGTCCCTCTCCCTGTCCCTTCCCTGTCCCCTCCCAATCCCGCCCCCTCCTCCCCCCTGGGCTCGGTCCCCAATCGTTTCTCCGAAGCATCTTCCCGAAACACCTTTCCAAAGCATCTTCCTGAATCTCTCACCCAAATCTCCCCTTTCCAAAAAATCCTTCCCAAAATACTTTTTCAGAGTCCCTTCCCAAAATATTTGCCCAAAGGGGCTCCCAGAGCGCCTCGCAATGTCCCAACTCCCCTTCGTGAGGGAGATTCCCATAGCCCCTTCCCAAAATTTCTTCTTGAAGTTCTTGCCCAAAGCGACTCCCAAAAGGATCTTCCCAAAACACCTCGCACTCTCCCAAAACATCTTCCCAAAACACCATCCCAAAGCCTGTTCCCAAAAACTGTTCCCAAAGCACCTTCCCGAAAACTCTTCCCAAAGCACCTTCCCAAAAACTGTTCCCAAAGCATCTTCCCCAAAATTTTCCCAAGGAATGCTCCTCCTGCAGGCTCTTCACACCTTCCCAAAACTCCTTCTCCAAAACACCTTCCCCAAAACACCTTCCCAAAGCCCCTTCCCAAAGCATCTCCCCAAAAATCCCGCTCCAAGCGCCTCACTCCTTCCTGAAGCGCCTTCCCACGACTCCTTCCCTAAACACCTTCCCAAAACGATCCCTGACCGAAGTGCCTGCCGTGGGAAACACCCCCTGGAATTCCCAGCAAGGAATTCCCTCCTCCTTCCTTTTCCATGGAAAAAGCCAGCCCTGGGATGCTCTTGGCCTCCCCAAAGCAGCAGAATTCCTGTCCTGAAATCTCCCACTTCTTCCCAAGTGTTTGGAAAAGCTCCTCTGAGGAGCAGGGAAAGGGGCAGGAATGGGCCACCGGCATGGAATTCCGTAAGAATTTTATGGAAATGTTTAATATTTCTTTTCCCACTGCTGGAAATTCAAGGAGAAAGTGGGAAAGTCTGAAAAAAAAAACAAACAACATTTGTGGGGTTTAAAGGGCTTCCCTTGAAGCAGATTCCCACCCTCTGGAGGTAAATCCAGGCTTTTCCAAGGCTGGAGCTGGAGCTCAAGCTGGATCCGTGGGATGCAGCCATGGCATTCCCAACTTTCCATGGAGCCTGGGGAATTTTATCATCGCCCCCAGACAAAGCCAAGGGGCCGTGAAATCGCAAATGGGGTGGAGAAAGCACCGGGGCAGCGACAATTCCAGAGGGGAGAGGGGCGATGGCACCGCCGGATTTCCCGTCGGGAATGGGAATTCCGGGATCTCATCCCCCCTGGATGCGGCAGCGGCTTTGGGGCTCAGCCCCTCCCAAATCCCAGGGTTCGATCCCACTTTTCCCACGGAGTCAGACCCTGGAGTCCCAGTTTTGCAACACAAACAAAATCCTGAATTCCTACCTTGGGAAAAACTGGGAATTGCGGTGCCAGGAGGGAAAAACCTTCCCGAAGGAAAAGCTCCCTCCAGGCTCTCCCTCTGCCTGGGCCATAAAGCACCAAAATTCCCTTTTTCCCCCCCAATTTCCTGGGATTTCCCATGCCAGGAGTGGGCAACGCTCTCCCTGCAGCTCCTGAAAATTCCAGTGCTGTTCAATTCCAGCTGGAGAGAGCAGCAGAGAGTCCTGGAGGTTGCACCCGGAGCAGCATTCCCGGGATATCCTCATTCCCAGGGAACTTGGGGAGGCTCTG